AATAGTGATCGATTTTTAAACATAGCAACACAACTGTAAGATCTGTATAATTACAACTCTTTAACCAATTCGAAAGTCATTTTATTTTTTTTCAAATTACCAAATGCAAAGGTTATCTTTTAAGAGATTAAATAATAAATCACCAAAAGTCCTTTCTTATTTAAATAGCAAGTTTAAATAAAAAAAAGAACAAATCCTATCTGGAAGGCGTATATCACCGGCTGTGGGGTGACGTATCTCTTGAATCATATTGTTATGTAGTGCCTGTAATTATTTGACCCAGGATATTTATCTGCATACCTTTATAAATACAAGTTGTTCAGAAAGATGGCAGAAAATAAATTAGAAAATATATAGAGCACAACCTCCGATCCAAAATATGCAAACACATAATGAAAGATCTGTTTCTGAAGATCAAAAAAAAAAAACCAAAAAAAAAAAACCCTTGTATTATATTTTGGATCGTGGGATGTGCTCATATTTTAATTCTTTGCTGAAGGTAGTCAAATACGTATGTTTTCTGCAAATTTCAAGAACATTACAATTTCTCAAACCCTGTGTTCCAATATCTGGATTTTCAAAAAGAAATTTTATCAAAGGAAATGAAAGCACTAAGTGTCAACTTTATTTTGGTAAAGAGGGTCGTAGTTAATTAATTGATATAAGTACAGGGTCATTTTATGCATAAAGTGAACCTAGCTCCTTGCATTGATAACCGATCGCAAAGTTTAAGGACCCTCTCTACACCAGTGCAAAAAGTTTTTTGGACATTGAGAAAACAAGATGTGTTTGTGAAACACTATGCGCCCAGCGGCAACAAAGTTAAAAAACCAATATTTTTAGCATATAGGACACAGTCAAGGTCACAAGGTCATTGATCTTGGTATCATTTGAAAGAACTTGATTAGTGAGGTATGCATACGAAATATGAAGTCTCTATATCTCATGGTTCAAAAGTTATGGTGAAGGTTCAAAAAGCTATTTTTAGCATATAGGACACAGTCAAGATCACAAGGTAATTGACGTTGGTGTCATTTAAAAGAGCTAAATTAGTGGAGTATGCATACCAAATATGAAGTCTCTTTTATTCATGGTTAAAGTTTGCAGACAAACAGACAAACAGACAGACAGACAGAGAGGAAAAAAACAATATACGCATCGGATCTTTCGATTCGGGCGCATAAATATATTGTATAAAGGTGTTCATATTGAGCTTATCTATTTAATTTTCACTATATGATATGTGGCATTTACCCCCAGGAAAAATGTTCAAACTCAACAATAAAGCAGGAAAACATTATTATTTTTCATAGAAAAAAAATCATGTAAATAACATGTTTAATAAAATTTGGCCTTTTAAAATGCTAAGAATATTTGAATTGATAAAAAAAGAGTAATATACCAGACCACTCTAAATGGAAACAGTTAATATGGGTTAAAATCTTTAATTTACATTCGGAAACGTGCATCACAGGATGAAAAGCCAGGTTTCCCAAATTTGGAAACCCGTGAATCGTGACATCAGTAGTTTCCATATAGTTTCCATTTTATGGAAACCACATAGTGGTTTCCACATAGATTCCCGACATGGAAACAATCAACCTGTGGTTTCATGGAAACAATCAACCTGTGGTAAGTTTCCCAAGATAGGAAACCATGGAAACATACCCCGGTGGTTTCCACATAGATTCCCGACATGGAAACATTCAACCTGTGGTTTCCCGTAAGTTTCCCAAGATAGGAAACCATGGAAACATGCCCCGGTGGTTTCCATGTAGATTCCTGATATGGAAACAACCAACCTGTGGTTTCCCGTAAGTTTCCCAAGATAGGAAACCATGTAAACATGCCTCAGTGGTTTCCATACAGATTCCCGACATGGAAGCCACCAATGTGTTGTTTTCCGCATGTTTCCCAGGCAGGGAAACTTTGAAAGTATATCTCAATACTAACCCACCTACCTTTTATTTTACAAAAAGTTAAATATTTAATTATGTTACCATATTTTACCAGTTATAGAAATATTTCAAAAGTGTTTACATGCTGTATCAAAATTATTAACTTCAAACAGTTAAAATAACTAGATGTGTATTTCTGTGTGACAAAATTTAATATTTCAGCACCTTGAACGCAATTCAATTTTAATTTAATTTTATCTAACTGAATTTTATTTAATTTAATTTAATTTTAAATTTGATTTATCACATAAGTTTTGGTAAACTCGTATAGAATGCGTGAAGTGGAATAGAAAAAAGTAAGTGCATGCAGTTATGTAAAAATCAATCATTTCCGATCCCACTTTCTTGAAGTTGTCTATGATGAATGTTCCTTTGAAAAAATGGAAGAGCTAAGGAAGGGTACATTTAATGAAATTATTTACAGAAAAGGTTTACTAAAAAGATCGATTAAAAAGTAAATAAAGAAATATGTAAAGTTACGATTACTGATTAAGGACAGGTGAGACGTTCCTCAATAAAATAATTAATTTTTTTTCCAATATTTTGCAATTGACATTGAAGAATTATTTTTACATAATTACATGTATTCACAAGACATCAAGGTACCTTACCAGGCATTTGTGTTAGATACCAGAGGTTGGCATTTCTTATATACCGGGGTAATCCGTCAGGAAAAAAATACTTCAGTTGGTTTGTCAAAATTACATTTTTAGTGTTTCAAGTTTTTAAATACAAGTTTAGAAAGTGATAAAGATTTTGTTTTAATATGAATTAATATATTAAAATAAATTGGTCAGATAAGAATCATTCATCGAATTGGCTGGGGGTTGAGTATTATCATACTAGTATTTTACTATTAATAGTGAATATTGTTTTTTTTTTAATTTATTAAATTATTATTTTTATTATTGGGGGTGGGTGGGTTGCTTTTCATTTTTTCCTTGAGAAGCCCCCCCCCCCCCCCTAAAAAACGCTTTTGAAAAAGTCACTATGGCCGGCCTGTGTATTTAGGGACACCTGTCCTCACGTGCCATTTCAGGTGGAGACACGTGCCGCGAAGACACCTGTCACTGTGTATTTTTTGTATATTCTATGTGAATTGAGACGGTTTTGTACCTAAAGGGAACAATGGGCTGTTGTCGAGCATGTACACACACAGTCTCCGACCGAAAATTCTTTTAAATTAAGATGATGATTCGTGTTTCTTTTATCATTTAAAAAATTGTATATTCCATAAATAAAGTTATACAAGAGAACATATTTATAAAATAACCTACATTTAAGAAGTTCAATGAAAGAACAAACTATTTAGAATTTTTATTTCAATTTTCATTACTGATTTAAAATAAAACTATCCTCTTTAGAAATTAAATAATTTTCTATAGGTATTGAATAGATCTTAATTCTCGTCGTGTATAATTATATTAAATCAGAATGACGTTAATAGATCAATGTGAAATCAAAACTGTATTTAATATTGTTGATGGGTTTTTGTGTGAAATTTGTAATCTAACGTACTACAAAGACATTTATTAGAGAAATGTTTATAATATAATTCATCACATAAAACGTTTTTTTTTTTCTTTCCTTTTTTGTTTAAATATGTACGCAGATCCCCGTGTAGTAAACGCCTGCACTTTTCGCATGAAATTACAATGTAGGGTCCTAAATGCACATACATTATATTTAACAAACTTTAAAATTTTCAGCCATTTTTTTTCTCCAAAGGCCATTGCTCTAGATAAAGAAAAGTCTATCATATCTTACATGATTTTGTTTTCCTTAAGAACAATGGCTTTTAAAGTAGTGCATGCTAAGGCAATCTATTAAAAGAATTACATGTAATTGTATAATTAATTCATTGTATAATTGTCACGATTGTATTTTTGTGCAGTTTTTGTTGATTTCATTCTATAAAGGTATGAAGTTTGTCAATACTTCAACAAACATTTCTTTATCTATGTTGTACACTACTTTATTTTTATTTGCCGACATGCTACTCTTTTAAAAAAAAAAAAAAAAAACTTGCGTGGCTAATAGACTCGATCTTCAGGCCTGTAGGAAAGTAATTTCCGTTAGAGTAATAAACTAACCGAGATTTTATTTTACCAGATTTCTTAACGAAAAAAAAAAAATAAAGAAATACAGGGCGGGACCAGCTAAAGCTGTATGCATAAGTACAGCCCTGCACATCAACGAGTATATGACTTTCGACATAATCTTTCCCATGACTTCACTTATACCAATTACGACTAAAATACTGAATTAAAATACTGTTATATTTTCCTGCCTTTGATAAGATGTTAGTTTTGTTCCACCTAGAGATATAACTCTCCTAAGAAAAGGGTTTTTAACATTCTGATTCATTTAACAATTTTACGTGTTAAAATGATGTGGGAAATTTATTAGCTAAAGGCCAAGGAGTTTAAAGTACAATTAATGTACATGTAGCAATTAGAGAAAAGTCTAGCAGGTCCACCAGTAATATTGATAGCAGGCTCAAAATCTAATTAAACCCCGAAAAGGAGGGAGTTCAATTAGTAATTTAATCCCCCCCCCCCCCACACAAAAAAAAAAAAAACAACAATTTATTAGCAATGAATTATTAATCACCGAACTTTTCAATCATCACTATTGAAATAAAAAAAAACTGTTCTTGATAATCATATTATAATTGTAGCTCGTTTTCATGCCTTTTAGGATTCCTGTGGAAAGTTTACAATAAAAAAAATGTGCTTTTAAAAATTTAACATCTTTTGGTGTGACATTATAAATTCATAATCATGCATGTAACAGTTAAAAGAAGCGGGGAGAGGGGGGTTTACTTAATTTCAGCAAGGACGGCCACTACCAACAACCAAGCCCCGAAACCCATATCCCGAAGGCAAATAAGTTGAGGTGTCAAGCAAGAAACATTTTTTTTTCTGCTCTTGCCTCATGTATTTAACCGTTTTTTTCCTAAATATACAAGGCCTACACATCATATCGGCAAAAATATTTAGGAGCCCCTCTTTTTATTCCATGAAAAGGGGAAAACTTAATTTAATTCTAATATAAGGTCTCATAATCACACTTAATCATAGTGAATGTAAACAGTTTATATTTCCCATCCTGCATCGCTCTGTAGGCGCTTTATTTCATTGGTCAATTTCCCGAGGCGCCATTTTTGGAGGATCGAGAAGGACGAAGAAGAAGGTGTAAGCAGCTGGTAAATGTGAAAAGTTAAGATGGTTTCACCACCCAGTGTCTTTAAGACTGTGATAAATGCAATGGCCAACGATGAAGGATTAGTGTACGTATATTTTTGTTAACTTTTTACGGTAAATAGTTGTAATATTTGGCAACAAAAAATCTTCACTAGGCCTATCGGAGGCAACTTTTGTTATGACGCCATTTTGAAAAGTTGGATACCTAAGTTTTAAATTGTTAAGTGTATATATTGCAGAGAGAAAGAGAGAGAGAGATAAAAAAAAAATTGAGACAGTGATATAGCATAACTTAGATTATGGAGGCCCCAAAGGCACCGTGCATGTGCATGCTGTATGTTGTAAAATGGCAACGTTTCGCCTTTTATCATGTTTATTAAAATGTATGCTCCATATGTATGTTCTCTCTCTTTATATAAATGAATACTTTTCGGAATTAAAAAAAATATTATAACCCCGCTCAAATTATCCGGATGATAATAGTTTCACCGAGCATGGTTTCGTAGTTAAATTCAGACTGTAGAACATCCGGTTTTGAATACATGTGTTTTCTGACTTTTCGGATAGCCAACTCTTGTTTTTTGGAACTTACGACTTATGGCAAAGTATAAATTAAATATTTTTTGTTCAAAACTTTGATAAAAGCATCGATATTTTTACAAAAAGTGTCTTCAATCTCAGCTTATCCGATTATTCATGAAGGATATCCTCATCAGAACAGTTGGAATAGATTGTAGCGAATATAGCATAACCCTTAATCATATGCATGACGACGATATGGAGGAAAAATATACATAAAAAAGTGAATGTAGGTGAAAGCCTGTCCACTTTTCTGAAGAGATTAGGTTTGTTTTATTGTTTATTGAAATAGTTTACTGCTCAAAAGATTTTTTTTTGTAATGTCTAACCTGTTGAGATGAAGATGTAAAAAAAGAAAAGCCTAATAGTGAATTAATATTGATAGTATGTCAAGAAATGCAAATGAATCATCAGCTTGAATTATCAGTTTTTTCACAATTATTGACCTGAGTAGGTCAATGTATAGCGAATAATACATACTCTTTTCCATATCACATCCTAGCCCGAGACACCAATATCAGCCAGAGGGACAGAGGCCCTAGGGCTGATATTGGTCGAAGGTCTGATACAGGATGTGATGTGGAAAAGGGTATGTTTCATTATGTTTATTACAAACTTGGTAATAAAATACAGAACACTTCAAGTTGAGAAGATCAAGAAAATAAGTAAATAATCATGCACAATAAAACTACTTACATACATGTACATGTACACGGTATTGTCTTACTGAGCAAATTTAGCTGTCATTAGGTCAAAATTGCAAATAATAAAATGCTACTTTTATCTGTACATACGGGTAACTCTTGATGGCTTGAACTTCGATTTCTCGGAAGTTCTTGATCGCTTGAAGTGAGCCTCTGGTCCCGATTTTTTCCACTATATAACTAAGCAGATTTGCTCTTGATTTCTCGAACTCCTGATCTCTCGAAACCCTTGATCCCTCGAAGTCAAAATGCAGTCCCGCTGTGCTGTGAATTTTACCCTTGATACCTCGAAGTGGCTGTGTGTATACCAAGTTATAATGTTCAAACTTTTGCCATAATTGTATATCTGTGTGTCTGTCTGAGTGTCTGTTGTCAACTTAAACCTTCACCATAACTTTAGAACTATATGAGATAGTGGCTTCATATTTAGTATGCATACTCCACTAATGAAGTGCTTTCAAATGGCAACAAGGACAATGATTATGTGATCTTGACTGTGACCTGTATGCTAAAAAAAATTGCATTTTCAAACTTTGTTGCTGTGTTTCTCAAGCGCATCTTGTTTTTAGCTCTACTGGTCAGAGACCAGAAGAGCTTATGCGATAGTAATGCGTCCGGCGTCCGTCCGTCTGTCTGTCTGTCTGTCCATCTGTCTGCAAACACTACTCCTCCTTAAATTTTAGTCTGATTTCAATATAACTTGGCACACAAGTAGACTATACTAAGATACATAATTCTGTGCATCAGTTTTTGATAAGTACAAACCAGTAGAGCTACAGTCTCAACAGAGACTTCTGGTTATTTTTTCTTCCATCCCGGTTGTTGCTAATGCTATTACATAATTAGTTTAAATTAGAATGCAATAGTACCTAGACATGATTTATCATTTCAGAGAGAAGAAAACTGTGTGACTTTAAAAGAAAACCAGTGAGATAAAATCATAGAAAATGTATGATGATTCAGGATGTGATCATTTGGTAAGTGGTAATTCATTCATGATTAGTATGTATATGACAATTGCCTGAAAAAGAAAAGATTCTAAATTTTATTTAAATACTGAACTGTGAGCTACAAGAAGTTTTATGTAAAAGCTAGGGCTGAAACAATTTGCCCCCTCCATGTTATGTGTGTATTGCTATGATTGACAAACAATCAGTTCTCTAATACATACACTTCAATTAAACTTTGTCGTCTTGAACCTGAATTGAACAGGAAAAAACTCTGAGATCTCTCCAAAAATTTGAATGAAAAAAAGGAAATGCTTATTAACTGATTTCTTGCTGGTCAGTATTTTGATTACTTCAAGGAAGCTCTAAAAGCTGCACACTAAAGAGTTCTACTTTAATATCAGGTAGTTTTATGAAGTTAGAGTGATCTGCCCATAGATTAAGATTATGAAAAATGTTATTTTACAGTCAGTTAGATTATTTTTAATAGATTAAATTATTTTAATTAGCATTATTTAAAATAAAAAAAAATAGGAAATTAATTATTTTCATAAACTTTTCCAATGTAAGTAAACAGCAATGATTTCTGCTTACAGATAGTCCATTGTCTTTGAAAATTTCTTGGGGAAGTGAGGCACATACCATATGTTCTAAATGAATAAAAAAGGCTCATTATGCACATATTTATATGAAATATGATAGATTTTTTTCTCTCCAAGGAATAATTTCTGCAAGTCACTAAGTTTTTAGAGTTTCCTTTATTTTATAGATATTCAATAAAATTATTTGAAGTATTAAATTTTGGTAAATTTTATGATACTAAAAGGTTATATGGATGAAAAAACTGCATGCGTGTATGACAATAGGGCTTAAATTTTTAATGTCTCTTAATTTTTCAGTGACATTAAAACAGGAATTGTCATCACCAATAGACGAGTTTCACATTCTTAAGAGTTTTCTCCAATTGTCGGCGTATCGCTCATTTCCTCCACAATGTCCTTTGTAAGTTACTTGTTAATATTTTCAATCTTCAAAAATATTGGACAGTTACGATGTGTATTGCCAGAGTACGGGGGCAACATGAAAATCATAATGAATATGTTCATACAGATTTTATTTCCAAGATATTGTCCCTCAAAGTTGATACGGTTAAAGAGGGAAAACAGCGTCTTAAGCGGGTTGACCCCAGATCGACCCTGCGAAGGGGGATAACTTTTGTAAATGTGAAAGTCCTTTATGGTATATCATATAGATCTAAAACTGACTGAATTTTGATCAGCCAATTCATGAACATGATGAATGGATGTAAATAATGTTATTCAATATATGTAAAAAAAAAATTAAATTACTTGTTAATATATACATTTGTGGTATCTCTCCCATTGAAGTTTAAAAACTTGTTATTTATTTCTTAAATAAACTGAGCGTACATGCAATACCTGTATAAAATTACTCATAAGATACATGTATACTTAAACCATAATAAAATCATATGTGTCCAATGCAGCATATGATAAATCATTAACATACTAGTACATGTGTATATATACTGTAATACATATATATTGCATTATTTTTAGGTCCTATTCTTGGATGCCCTAAGACAGTGTCTACCCATCACTTCATCTGAAATCACTTGTTCTGTGCATATTTCTCTCTCAAACTTAAACTACAGAGAGCCTGTGGATAGAGGATGAAGAGTGACCTTGGACTAATTTTCTAGGTCAAAGGTCAGTATCAAAATCTACTGTATATCTTTGTTTAAAATCGTAGTCCAGAGTATATTTCTCCCCTGGTGTAATCTAGCTTTTGTGCAATGGGGTGGAGGGTCTGCAATGATCTTCAACCAATTTCTAGGTTGAATATCAAAATTTAAAAAAAAAATCTCTCCCTAATATTTTTGTTATTATAAAGGGTATGTTTTCTCTCAAACTAATCAAACTTAAAGCAGGGTTCTTGGTATGAGATACATGTAGTAATATATTCTCAATGACATAATAAGGCTGAAAACATTATTTATATTATGTTATTTTTTTTTCATTTATCAAAAAGCATTTATATTAAAGAGATACATTAAATGCTGAAATCATATGTATCATGGTCATGGAAAGTAATTATTGATATTGGTATATTAAAGGACATTGACTGATCTTTCAGATTTCTAAGTTATATTCAAGCATTATAATTCTGACATCATATATTTTGTATGAATATTGCAGATCATAGGTGATGAGAAGAAAACCAGGAAACTGATGTTGAAAGAAGTACTTAATGACCGTTATGAATGGACTTAAATGTGAAAGACTGTTCCATTGTTTATTTAAGATATTTGAATTTATTTAATATTTTGATATCATTGAAAAATACAGTTACAGTTTTTGTACATCAAATGAATTATTAAACATACAAAATGGTAATGCTTTTTTCTTTTACATGTAATAATTTTTTTTTTTGATAGATTTTTAAAAGAATACGCATTATTTCACATTGCTTCCTTTAGAAAAGTTAGGGAATCTTGAAGTTTCCCAGTAATTTCCACAAGGAATGGGACTCCAGATAATTCCACCAAGTTTCCGCCACACAGAAAGTGCTACACAAGTTCCATATAGTTTCCTGAGTCAAGGAAACTTCAGCAATCATAAGGTTTCACGAGCTTCCATGTAGTTTCCCATAAAAGAAAACCTTAAGATTCCATCAAGTTTCCATTCTATGGAAACCACTACGCTCATATTCCGTATGGTTTCCTGAGTCGAGGAAACTTAAGGAATCGTGAGGTTTCTCGAGCTTCCATGTAGTTTCCCGTATAAGGAAACCTAAAGATTCCATCAAGTTTCCATTCCACGGAAACCACTACGCTCAGATTCCATATGGTTTCCTGAGTCAAGGAAACTTAAGAATCGTGAGGTTTCCCGAGCTTCCATGTAGTTTCCCGTAAAAGGAAACCTAAAGATTCCACCAAGTTTCCATTCCACGGAAACCCCCTACGCTCCGATTCCATCAAGTTTCCTGATTCTGGAAACCAGTGGAATCTTCAGGTTTCCCATTACGGGAAACTACATGGATGTTCGGGAAACTTCAGGTGTACAGAGGTTTCCGTGGTTCGGGATACCTTATGGAATCGGAGCGTAGGAGGTTTCCGTGTCACGGAAACTTGGCGGAATAACCTAGCATCCGCTACGGAAACCACTGGGAAACATGATGTAAACTTGAAGTTTCCATGTGGATTCCATAAAGTTTACCATGATGGGAAACCACTTTTTTCACCCAGTGCATGTTAGAGCTAGATTCAAATTCCTTATTTCTATTATGGTAAACCGGTTAGTTTTTACAGGGATGGGTCTCTTCCCTTCGGACTTAGCATTCGGTAGGACTGGTTTTGGATTTTATTATTTTTTTTTTTACACATCTTTTGTACATCTGTTAGGTAGGCATTATTTTTCTATTGACAGTCATTAGCAAGATAGATTGTTAGTACACCAGTTTTTGTTGTAAAAATATTATGTAAATATCTTGTGCTATTGATAAAATATAAATGTTGCCATAATAAATACTTCTTAATTTCCAAACTCTTGTTATGAAAAAATCTTGGTTAAGTAAGCCACTTTCGTGACTTACTGAAATACAACAGGTTTATTTGGAAAGTAAGAACTTGGAATAAAACGCGAAGTTTACTATTATTGATAATGAAAATGTGTGTCATTTAATGAGTTAATTGAGAATAAAAGAGGTATTAATCATACGATCATGATCGTTACACAGGTATCGTTTAATGTTCAAATTGTATAGGTACCGTGTAGACGTGTTTCGAAGAACTTTTAAATAAAGAGTTTAGTTTACAGTAATGAAACATATGAAGATAACGAACAGTATTCAAGATCAAAAGTCCATAAAACAATACAAAACAGGAGCAGAGCAAACACGAACCCCCAAAACATCAGAGGTGGAATCAGGTGCCATGGATGAGTGTGCTTCCCCTGCCGACCGATCACAACCGCCGTGTGCTACTTGTCATGGTCAGGAAATAATGGAAAAACCTGCCGTCAATTCAGTGTATAAATGCATGTAATGGACTAACAATGAGTATGAAAAACATCAGTCAGCATTTGCCTCAAAGATAAATTGTATTTGCTGACAAAGCCATTGTATCGAGTAAGAACTTACGAAATTAAGATGTTTGTCAAGGTTGTAATGCCGTGTATTTTTTGTAAATTGTTGTTCTTCGACTCCAGGTTTCTCCTATGTGCGAACATTGTCATTCTTTTAAAATGCAATTTCTATCTCCATGTAAAACTTTGCAATGGAAAAGCATATACATGCCATTCTTTGAAAATCCCCTTAACATTTTTGTCTTGAACGGATAAACAACATAGTTCATTGATAACGAATAGTATCCAAGATCCAAAACTCATTCAAACAATACAAATCAAATACAAATTAGAGCAAAAACTGACTCTAAAACATCCAAGGTACCGGTAGTAAATGTATCAAGTGCCTCTGAGGTATATATTCATCCCCCGCAGACCGGTCATACCTTGTGTTCCTTGTCATGATCGAGAAATAACGAAAAAAAATCTGTAGATTATTCAGTGTGTAATTAATGGTCTAAAGTAAGTATGAAAAACGTCAGACAGCATTTGACTTAATAAATTGTATTTGCTGGTCATTATATCGACCATAGAACTTGAGAAGGGATTACTTAAACATGAATGCTGATATTCTTGTTTCATCAATTTGTTTGTCAATATCTTACCTCGTTTTAGAAATTGTTCATATGTAGAGTATGCTCTTACATAGTGATTCAACTGAAACCGTTCACGGTAGTTCGGATGGTAGAGCGCTCGCTCCGTGATCGGGAGTTCGAATCTCGGCGACTGACTTAAGTCGATAAAAAATGGGTAGCAACTGTACCTTTGCCATGCACTTGAAGTGAAAGTTGCGGGTCCTTCGAATGAGGACTTATAAACCAAGATCCCGTGTCAAGACAGGGATGATAAAAATCCCTCACAGCTCAATGGCCGTAGAAGCCGAGTAAAGGTCAAAATTTGAAGCCCTCTACCGGTACTTGGTAACGTCTCAATATACAATCAATCAATCGAATCAACTGAGATATAAAAACCCAATATGCAGATGATAAAATTATTTATTGCCGCATAAAAGTGGGAAGTTGAATATTTGAAAAGTTAAACACGTCGCGTTTGTCATAAAGCTTTGTTGTTAATTTACCATCAATCTTTTATTTAAGTAAAATATCCAAATACGAAATAGATTCTTCAGACTCTGTGGTATCTTTTATATTAGGATTATTAGAATATACCGTGTCGATACACGAATGGATATTACCATTGTCAATTAATACTTCAATATATCTAAATGTATAATGTTCTCCTATTGATACTCACATTGTACTGTATATAAGATTTACTTGATGAATCATTTTTAATAAATTGCAACGAGATTACTTAAATAAAATATTTTCAATAGCAAAATTCAAGATAGATCAACCTACTTTGATAAACACATTCAGTAACATGAATTTAATTCTAGACACAGGTACATGTACTAGGCATAATTAGGCATGGAAACAATTTTGTTCGCTTTTCAAATACATGTAAACAAGATCATGCTCATGTGACAATACATGTCAATTACCGACATATGAATATTTTGAATAAATTCTGCCTCATATGAATACAAAAATCTGACAAAGAAACAATGGTCATTCAAGATGCCATATATATTGAAATATAATCAATTAGGAATTATCAGCAGATTATTTGTAAATTATACATACAATTAACTAATTGATATTTGAAAGTGTGTATTTCAATGCAACAAACAAACATATCAAAACTTTAATATGTAGAAAGAAGAAAAACTAAAATTTCTTGGAGAATATCATTACCTCGTTTCATTCGCCTCGTGAACGTGGACCTTTATTAACTTCGTATGATAAAACGAAAAAAGTAGACAGTATTCAAATG